CAAACAAACAGCATAATCAAGCAATCCAAGAAACTCAAGGGTTCCAGTAAAGCAGAATGGTTAGTCCAAAATTCAAAGACCTAGCTGAGAAGTCAAACAGAGGGCCTGTACAGACTGCCAGAAATAATTCAGCTTGGGGCCACTTTAACTGCCCTGATTCAGTGCTAGGGAATCATGGGAATGGTCATTTATTGTGGCACCAGAGGTCTCTGACAGAGAAGGCTCAATGTCTCAGAAAAAACTACAATTCCCATGATTCCCTACCATTGAGCCAGGGCAGTTAAAGTGGCCTCAAACTGGATTATTTCTGGCAGTCTGTACAGGCCCAGAGCATCAAGGAACAAGGTGTTTTCACCAAGAAAAACCAGATAACTTCTGACAAAGACTCTGAGATCCTTCCCAGGTTTTTATTATCACCTCTCACAAGTGCAGCTGGTTTTTGATTGTTTGACTATTTGCATAAAGCCTCTGAGACCGCTGGAGGCATGCCCTTTCAAATCTCCTCTGGCTGAAGGTAAGTATGTTGGTCTCGTCCTCCTCCTCCTCAATGGCCACAGTTCCAGAAGGCTCTGCTGCCTGAAGATTTGGCTTCTGAATATCTTCTGGGGCCACAGACTCTGCTGGTGCTCTCAGGGCAGAGCTAGGGCTAGGCTTAGGCTCAAGCTGAGAGTCTTCTTCTGAGTCCTCAGCAGGCTGGGCATGACAGTGGCATAGGAGAAATGGGATTCAAAGTTCATGAGATGTGGAGAGAGAACCAAGAAAAAGCAATTGTGAGAATTTTAATTAGTGGTGCAATGGTGCAGAGAAAACCCCAATCTCATTAGAAAATGACACAAATGTCCAGGTCAACAATGAAGTTTGAAACAGTAGCATAACAATTTGACTACATTCCCTGGGCAGACAATAATACATGATTTCAAGCAATATGGATAATCAAAAAATGACTACAGTAGGCCCTCTATTTTCATGAGGGATCCACACACCCTGGGAAAATGGAGACTCACCAATATTCAAGCCTCATAGGTTTGAATGGGGTGTGCCCTCATGGGGGCACAGAGGAGTGTACCCCATTGATTTTAATGGAGGTCACTCCTCCATGAATATTCAAAACTGCAAACCTCAAGTCCATGCGAATGGAGAGACAACTTTATTTTCTTGCAATAGTGGAAAGGGGTGTCCTTGAAAACTCCAATTTCACAGTTTAGATGAGAAACTTGAGAGGCAGGCTAGAATCTTCATCCTGGTATTACATTTTCAAAAAATTATTTGAAACCCATTAATGCTGATTTACTCCCAAGGAGGTTGACTATTCCTTAGCATATGCAAATGACAATGCCTTTCTCATCTCCCCTAGGAGAAAGCTGTGCAGTCTAATTACTCTCACAGCCAAAATGTTTTCCAAACATGCTTAACCTCCTTCCCCATTTTACATCAAGATTTTACTCCTTCTTCTGAGACTTTCTTCTAGCTGAAAAGCCTATGAATAATTCCTTTTCTTCTCTCCATATTGTTGTTACCTGCCAAGTATCAACTGGATGGTATGCACTCTCAAGCCTCTGCTGGTTAAATTTTGCCCCTTCTGTCTCTTCCTTCAAGTAATGGGCTCATCATTTCTTTGCTAATTGAAGCAGAAAACTAAATGTATATTCTTTTCTACCCCATTATTGAGAGAATTCTAATGGGGAGATTCAACAACAACAACAACAGAATACTCTCTCTCTCCCTCCCTCCCTCCCTCCCTCTCTCTCTCTCTCTCTCTCTCTCTATATATATATATATATATATATATAGAGAGAGAGAGAGAGAGAGAGAGAGAGTATTCTGTTGTTGTTGTTGTTGTTGAATCTCCCCATTAGAATGATAAAAGGATTGGAGAACTTCCTATATAAAGATGGGACAAAGTGCTCAAAGATTTTTTTGTAGTTTAAGACAGAACTTTGACACTAGGAATTCAATTAAAGGTAACTAGTTACTTTTTCAGGGTTAAAGGGCACTTTGGAAGTATTTTGCACTTTGGGCACTTTGGCCATCTGTCGGGGATGCTTTGACTTTGACTTTGAGTTCCTGCATGGCAGAGGGTTGGACTGGATGGCCCTTGTGGTCTCTTCCAACTTTATGATTCTATGTTTCAGAGGAATTTTTCAAGTTTGTGCCATTTTCTTATCCATTACAAGGGTTTGTTCCTAAAAAAAAAAAGGAACGGAATGTATTAGAAAAGTAACAAGTAGTGCAGCAAATAATGTAGTATATTTCTTGTTTTCATTATTGCTATGAGTAATAGCAATAGGTTACTTTTTAACCATTGTAATATGTAATGGAATAAATTATTTTTAAAATTTTAAAACTTTGTTTCAAAGTTTCTTCTTTCCTGTTGAAATTTGAAGGTTTTTGGACAATTTCAACAGGAAAGAAGAAACCTTGAAAGTAAACAAAGTTTGGCTACCAGTCCTCTAAGCTACCAAAATCAGGACTCAGCAAATGCAAATGAACTTCACCCAGGGTCAGGGGGTTTCCCAGCAGACAATGGACCATTAATTAAAAAGACACTAATCCTCCTTGCATATCCTCCCACCCTGAGGCCTTGCCTCAACAGAACAATACACAGATTTACATGCTAATTTACATTCTAATTCCCAGCAGACAATTGGCCATTAATTAAATAGACACTAATCCTCTGACCCAGAGGCCTAGCCTCTACAGAACAATACACAGATTTACATGCTAATCCTCTCAACCAAGGGTCACACAGTATATATACCCCCCCATGCCTCCATTCTCTGAAGATGCCACAGATGCAGGCGAAACATCAGGAACACATTCTTCTAGAACACATCCTCACAGCCCCCAAACCCCACTATATATATATATATATACATACATACATATATATATATATATATATACACACACACACACACACATATATATATGTATATATATATATATATATATATATATATATATATATATATATATATATATATATATATATATATAATCATGTCATCCATGGGGGTCCTTGCCTCTTGGGCCCTCCTGCACCTCCATCCCAATCTTTACTTCAGTCACAAAATGTGTTTTCAGATGAAAATCACCTCTAGAATCACATTTTGCCCTTCAATGGTGTGACAACCACATCAAAACAGAAAAAGGCACCGATAGAAGTGACCAGAATAGACTTCTTGTTGCCCAAATCATCACTTTCTGTCTCTTCATTCACACACACACCCTGGTGTGGCCTGCTGAGGAACTGTCATTGCTGAAATTTGTACTCTGGTCCTTGGTGTATACCCATACCTGCTCAGGGTATACTGCATTCAACTTTTTTATTATCAATTTATCTATTATTTACTCATAATTATTTACTTATCTATTTTGCTGATTTATTGCATACCTCTTGTATAATCTATTTCAATTGGAACAGTTTAATTCACTCCAACTGGAGTTTGTCACACATCACTGATTCACAGGATGCAATCCCATAAGCCCATGTCTGTGACAGGAAGGTCAACCTTGGGAAATTGCAGCTTCTGAATTTTTATTGTAAAATGTATGCTACAGTAGGGTCCTCTTCCCCCTCAGTGTAGTATCTCATGGAATGTCACTTTTTCTCAAGAATGGTGTTGGTTAAACAAAGAGAATAGCTCAGTGGCACAAAGCACATGCCTTTCACAAAATATGTGAATTGTTTTTAAAAAGTTGTTTTGTTTTGGTGTTTTGTTTGGGAGATTCTTGGCTGATAATAGAAAAGAATTCTTCACATAGCACATAATAAAACTGTAGAATACACTGCTACAAGATGTAGCGATGCTTGTCAGTTTTGGATACTTTTACAAGGGGATTCAGATAAATTCATGGAGAATGGGGTCTTCAGTGGCTTCCTAGAATCAGAGGACTTAAAGATGGTAGTGCATGCGCTGGTAACCTCAGTGCTGGACTTCTGCAATGCGCTACACATTGCTGTTGTTAACTGCCCTTCAGTCGATCTCAACTCATGGCGACCCTATGGATGAGACATCTCCAAGACCCCCTGTCCTCTACTGGTCTGCTTAAATCCTGCAACCCCATGCCCATGACCTCCTTAATAGAGTCCATCATTTGGCATGCAGCCTTCCTCTCTTCTTACTTCCCTCAACCTTCCCCAGTCTTCTCTTCTCATGATGTGCTTGAAGAACAACAGCCTCAGTTTTGTCATCTTGGCTTCCAGGAAGGTTTCTGGCTTGATCTGCTCTAGGACCCATTTGTTTGTCTTTTTGGGATCCTCACCACTTCTCAAAGGAGTTGATTTTCTTTCTATCATTTTTCTTAACTATTCAGCTCTCACATCCATACATGGTAGTAGGGAATACAATGGCTTGTATGATTCTAACTTTTGTGTTGAGTTGTATATCTTTGTATTTTAGAATCTTTTCTAGTTCTTTCATAGCCATCCTCCCCATTCTTAATCTTCTTCTGATTTCTTGACTGCAGTCCCCATTTCTATCAATGTTTGATCCCAGGTATGGGAATTCTTTTACTATTTCTATCTCTTTATTGTCTAGGTTGAACTTGTGAAGGTCTTAGGTGGTCATTATTATTGTTTTCTTTATGTTCAACATTAAGCCTGAATTTGCACTTTATCTTCCTTAGGTGCTCCAGATTGGTGAGGTTTTCTGCTAATATTATGGTGTTATCTGCATACCTTTGTTGATATTCCTTCCTCCTATTTTCACTCCTCCTTCTTCTATGTTCAAGCCTATTTTTCTTATAATATGTTCTTCATACAAGTTGAATAGATAGGGTGAAAGTATGCAACTTTTTCTGACTCCTTTGCTAATTGGGAACAATTCTGTTTCTCCGTGTTCTGTTCTGACAGTAAAAGCAGCTTCATTTATATACCACTTCATATCGCACTATGGCATGTATAAGCGGTTTACAACTGTAAAGCTCATTGCCCCCCCCCCAACAACTGGGTACTCATTTTAGTGACCACAGAAGGATGCAGGCCTGAGTCTAGCCAGAGCCCTGGCTAGTATTGAACTCGCAACCTTGTGGTTTATGAGTATGAGTGAGTGGCTGCAGTACAGGCATTTAACCACTGTGCCACCAGGGCTCCTAGTAGCCTCTTGTCCCAAGTACAGATTACATATATCAAGTTCAGAAGCTCCAATTGATTCAGAATATTGCAGCCAGACTGATTACAGGTACATCCAGGAGTGATCACATTACACTGATCTTAAAATCTCTCCACCGGCTATCAATTAGTTTCTGGGCAAAGTATGAATAGTTGGTTATTACCTTTAAAGCCCTACATCGGAGTTTATCACACGTGTGGAAATGGGACTTTAAATTAAAAAAAAAACACACACACACACAAAATTGGTTAGTTTTTCAGATAATGTCACTGTTAAAATGGGGTTAACCCGAATGGAAAGTAGTCAGAAACTGCCTCTTTTTATTTTTGGAAAATCCCAAAAGTAAAAAGAAGTAGTTTCTGACTACTTTCCGTTCGGGTTAACCCTATTTTAACAGCAATGTGTATGGAAAACTAACCACTTCTGCGGGTTTCCCCCATCTTTTAAATCCCGTTTCTGCACGGGATTTCCCTGATGTGATAATCTCCATTTTAGTTTGTTATCTACAGGATCACCTTCTCCCATACAATCCCTCTGGTATACTCAGGTCCTCTGGGAAATGTTTGCTCCAACAGGCCAGGACTAGACTGGCAACAGTTTCTCAGAGGACATTTTTGCCTGCTGCCCCCAGACTGTGGAATGACCTTCCGGAACAAATGTGACAGGTGAAAATCATGACAGCATTTAAAAGAGCATTAAAGACATATCTCTTCTGGGAGGCCTACCCATTCAATTTTATATCATGACTTTTAAATTTACATATGAACTATTTAGGGTGTATTTTAATGGTTTTATAGTAAATGCATTTTAACTGTGAGTCTATATATTTTTAATTGTGTTTTCTATTTTAACACAACTTGAGGAGAGGCAGGAAAGAAATATATTTTAAAATAATATAAGATCATAGAATCATAGAGTTGGAAGAGACCACAAGGGCCATCCAGTCCAACCCCCTGCCATGCAGGAACTCCCAATCAAAGCATCCTCAACAGATGGCTATCCAGCCTCTGCTTAAAGACCTCCAAGGAAGGAGACTCCACTATTCTCCGAGGCAGTGTGTTCCACTGTCGAACCGCCCTTACTGTCAGGAAGTTCCCCCTATTAAATAGCACTGGGCCCAGGACAGAACCCTGTGGCACCCCACTGGGATCACCCCCAGTATTTCTCTAAGGGGGGAAGCAGACTGGCAGCTCTGTGCCGCCCCGGGAAGGTGCGCCGCAGGACCAAGGCAGCTCCATGCCTCGTTCCTGCGGCACTCCTTCGCCGCCCCTGAAAGGAGTGCTAAATCAGTGCTCCTTTCAGAAGTCAGGGAAAGTGCACCCCAAAAAGGTTGAGGCGCACTTTCGCTGGCTTTTCCACCGCAGCGTGTGCGGACGCTGCGGCGGGAGGTTGCCCCCGGAGCACCGGCCGTGCAGAGGGCCAGCGGCTCTGAGGGCAACCTCAGGAGGAGGAAGCGGTGCCGAGCGTGCGGCTGCCCCTCCTCTTCCCTGCCTCGGAGATGGCTCAATTAGCTGTCTGCCGAGGCCGTAAGTTTAGTAAAATCAGCTTTCCTAAAGTCTAGAATGCGTGTCTGACTATGCCTGGCTTCTCCTTTCCACTGTATAATAAACTCCAGGAGGACATGATCACTCCCGCCTAAGGATCCCACCACTTCCACCCCATTAACTAGGTCTTCCCTGTTAGTTAGGATCAGATCCAAAATAGCTGACTCCCTTGTTGCCTCTTCCACCTTTTGGACAATGAAATTGTCTTCGAGGCAAGTGAAGAATTTGCTAGACCTAGAGGATTTTGCTGAGTTTGACCTCCAGTAAATATCAGGATAGTTGAAGTCACCCATCACTACTATATTTCTCCTTTCTGAGTGTGTTGTCATTTGTTCTAGAAACGCATCATCCAATTCTTCTGCCTGAGTTGGGGGTCTGTAGTAGACTCCCACAATAACATCCCTGCTGTTTCCCTCCCCTTTAATTTTTATCCAGATGCTCTCCACCTGGCTGCCAGGATTGATGTTGTGGATTTCTTCACTGGTGTAAATATTCCTGACATATAATGCTATTCCTCCTCCTTTCCTGTTTGGCCTGTTTCTCTTGAAAAGATTATATCCCTGTATTTCTACATTTCATTCATGAGACTCATCTCACCAGGTTTCAGTGATGCCTATTATATCGTATTTGCTTTGTTGTGCTAGGAGTTCAAGTTCATCTGGCTTATTTCCCGTGCTCTGTGCATTAGTGTACAGACATCTAAGACCATATTTCCCCCTTACTTGCTGCCTGTGCATGTTT